CTGGTCGGAAATCTTTGAGTGGTAAGGAACCTGAGCAGCAATCTGAGGCACTAGATTTGGTTTCCGCAGGGATGATAGAAGTGGCAAAGCAACGCCAAACAGAGGCTAAAGAGCAGAGGATGACTCGTGCAGCCTATAAGCGTAAAGAGAAAGAGCAACGTAAAAAAGAGCCCAAAGAGAATTCTCCTGGAAGTGCATCACCGCCGGTGGGAGGAGCAAGACCCAAGAGTTATGCAACACACGCAGCTCTGTCAGAGTTTGATGGTGTCTTCTCCAGGCTGCGTGCCAAGGGAGATGGCAAAGTTTTTGACCTGGAATGTTAATGGATTGAATTCTCCTCAGAAACGGAAAAAAATCTTTTATTATTTGAAGCAACATACCAATGATGTTATTTGTTTACAGGAAACTCATATTCTACTTAAAGATCAGAAATATTTAGTTAATGCTCGTTTGGGATCTCATTTTATATCTCCTGCACCTGGGAAGAAAGGGGGAGTTGTTATATATGTTAAACAAAACCTGCCAGCTTGTCTGGTAGAATCAGATCCCCAGGGGAGATATGTGATGATTGAACTTGGTATTTATGGAAAGAAAGTACTTATAGTTGGACTTTATGCTCCAAATCAACAACAGGAACAATTTTATAAACAGTTACACCAAAAAATAACTTTGCTTGATTATAGATCGGTGGTATTAATGGGTGATTGGAATGGTGTCTTAGATACACAAAGGGATAAGAAAGGTTCCTCTCCTTTTCTTAAACAAGCAAGGCTACCTAAAGCCTTTTTTGATATGAAAGAAGACTGGGAATTAAGGGACTATTGGCGGGAACGTAATCAAGAGGAGAGAGACTTTACTTTTTTTTCTGACAGACACCAATCTTTTTCAAGAATTGACTTTTTCTTTGATTACCACGGATTTGTATAATAAAGTAAAGAATGTAAAGATTTTTCCTAGATCACTGACGGATCATAGTCCAGTTTGGATGGAGTTGATTCAAGAGAAAGAGGAAAGAAGATCCTGGAGAGTTAATGAAAATTTGTTTAGACAAGAGAAGAATGTTCAAAAACTAAAGGAGTGTTTAAAGGACTATTTTGCTTTGAATATGTACAAGGGGACTTCAATGTCAATGGTATGGGATGCAGGTAAAGCATTTATGCGCGGTGTTTTGATAAAAATGAATAATTTTTATAAGCGAAATCAGATTCAGAAACGTAGAGAACTTGAAGATGAAATTAAACTAAAAGAAAGGGCTTTGATTCTAAATCCTTCTGATGAAAGTACTAAAGAATCTGTAAAGTTATTAAGGTCACAATTTAATATGTTGATAGCAGATCAAGCTGCAACCAATTTATTATTTATGAAACAAAATACATTTTGTAATGCTAATAAGCCGGGGAGATGGTTGGCTTATCAATTAAGAAAGAAACAGAGACAGAGAATAATAGAGAAAATAAATTATAAGGGTAAACTAGTTTCTCAGAAGGAATTAATTAAAAAATCTTTTTTGGATTATTATCAAAACCTATACAAATCTACTAATGTACAACTGTTAGATATAAATAAATATTTAGCTGAGGCAAGTTTTCCTAAACTGACTGAGGATCAGAAATATGAAATTAATGGTTTAATTACTAAGGAGGAAATTGCCTCAGCAATTCAACAATTGAAATTAGGGAAAGCACCGGTACGGATGGGTTAACAGCTGTTTATTATAAAGCTTTAATGGAGGAGATGATCCAACCATTAAATGATCTTTTTAATGGTATCTTACAGGGTTTAGAGATTCCTCCTTCATGGCGTAGTGCTTTTATATCATTGATTCCAAAGGAGGATCAAGATCTTACTTTACCAAAAAATTATAGGCCTATATCTCTTTTAAACGTGGATTATAAGATATTTGTAAAAATTTTGGTAAATAGGTTTATGAGGGTGGTGCATCATCTTGTGCATAAAGATCAATCAGGGTTTATAACAGGAAGGTATATGAAAAACAATGTTAGACAAATTATTAATTTATTAGAATACTTAGATAAGAACAACCAAGTTCCTGCAGGGCTCATATTTTTAGATGCTGAAAAAGCATTTGACCAACTGAATTGGCATTTTATGCTAAGAGTAATGGAAGAAATGAATTTTGGTGAAAACATATTACAAGCTCTTAAGGTAATATATCAAAAACAAACAGCACAACTTATTGTTAATGGAGGTTTGTCGGAGGTTTTTACAATAGAGAAAGGTACTAGACAGGGGTGTCCTTTATCGCCATTGTTGTTTGTTTTAACATTGGAAATATTATTGATCAAAATTCGAGACTCTCAGGAAATTAAAGGAATATATGTTAATAAAAAAGAATATAAGCTTGAGAGCTTTTGCGGATGACTTGGTTGTTACTTTGTCGCAACCTGATTATTCTGTAGTAAACTTATTACAGTTGATTCACCATTATGGTTTGGTCTCGGGTTTTAAGATTAATGTAAATAAGACTAAAATCTTACCTAAAAATATGTCGAGTCAGGAGAAGCAGATTTTGGTTAACTCGACGGGTTTTGAGATTGTTAATAAGGTAAAATATTTGGGGGTGATGCTGTCTGTTTCTAATGCAAAATTATTTAAAAATAATTATGAAAGGTTGTGGGTCAGGGTACAGAAAGACTTGAAGAATTGGGAAAAGTTGCAATTATCCCTCATGGGAAGAATTGCAGTGATAAAAATGAATATTCTACCCAAGTTTCTTTTTTTGTTTCAAATGTTACCAATTTTGAAAAATGAGATTAATTTAAATGAGTGGCAGAAGGGTCTCAATAAATTTATTTGGGCAGGTAAAAAACCAAGGGTTAAGTTCAAAATTATGCAAGACTTCCGTGAGAGGGGTGGACTCAAGGTACCAAATTTGAAATTATATTATGATGCGGTGGTTTTAACATTAATTAGTGACTGGGTAAATTTGACAAATTCTGAGATACTTTATCTAGAGGGATGGGATTTACTTTATGGGTGGCATGCCTATTTAATATTTAATAAAAAAATAGATTGGGCTTTTAAATCTCATATTTTAAGAATTTCTTTACTTAGGATCTGGAGAAAATATTATAAAAGTGATTTTAAAGTACCATTATGGGCTATACCTTGGCATGCGATAGAAGGAATAAAAAGAGGGGTTAAAATGGATATGGTGTCTTATAGACAGTTACTTAAATGGGATGGACAAAACTGGCAATTAAAATCACGGGAAGAATTAGCACAAGAAAATTTTACTTATTCTTGGTTCCAATATAGGCAACTACTAGATAGATGGAAGATGGATTGTAAGGTGGGTTTTCTTAGAGAAGATGAAAATCTTATTAAGCAACTGAAGGATCAAAGACAAACCCACATTAAGAGAATTTATGGGGTTTTAGTTGAATTGGACTCAGAAACGGAACTAATTAAAGATTGTATGATTAGATGGGCGCAGAACTTTGGTGAGCCAGTTTCATTGGACACCTGGGAAACTATTTGGGTGAGAAATGTCAAATTTACTCAAGCACAGAATTTAAGGGAGAATTTTTATAAAATGTTTTATAGATGGCACCTTGATCCACAAAAAATGTCTTACATGTACCCTGACGTGCAACCTAAATGCTGGAGATGTGGTTATAAGGAGGCTTCCTATTATCATATTTGGTGGTCATGCAGAGAGATAAAAGCATTTTGGATCAAAATATGGTGGAATATCCAGAGAATTTTTAGAAGGAGGGTAAAATTTACTCCGCAATTATTTTTGTTAGGTATTGTTACAGATTGTGATACAAAGGAGGTTGTATTGATGTTAAATTTGATCACAGCCGCGAGGCTGTTAGTTGGACAATATTGGAAGAAGGAATCTTTGCCTACATTGCAGGAATGGTTTTTTAAAGTAGCTTATCTGGCGGAAATGGCAAAGATTTCGGCTTTCTTAAAGCAACAAACGCAAGAGAAGTTTTTTGCTATCTGGGACAAATGGATAAAATTTATACAATTTAGATTGGGTATACAAAAATATCATATAGCTTTTTCATAAGTTTTATTTTTATATATATTATAGATATCTTTTTTATATATATAAACATAAAGTTTTTAATTTAATTTTTATTTTTTTTTTATTTCTCAAGCCTATATTCTGCTCTGGGAAGCTCAGGGGGGGGGAAGGGAGGGTTTTTGGGAGGGGTGTGGGGTGGGGTTTTTTTTTTTTTTTTATATATGTATTGTTTAACTTTTTTTTTCTTTGTATATGTTGTTTTTTGTTCTGTATTGTTCTTGTTTTTCTTGTAAAATTTATAAAACTTTTAATAAAAAAAAAAAAAATCTTGAAAAAAAAAAAAAAAAAAAAATGCATTCCTGCCATTCTTGTTTTTCCATGATCTATTTAAATTTTTGTTCTACTTACTCATTTTCTGGATTACATGCATAAAGCTTTTCTTTTATCTTACCTGCAAGAACAGTTGCATGCCAACTTGGTGGGGACCTCAGTTACACACATATATTTGCTTATGTCTTTAAGGTTACTTAATTTCGTCCACCCCAAAGAAAAAAAAATCCTGTCTGGAAATAAAGCATTCAGCCTGAGCCTGCTTATGCTCACATGGGGACACTGGAGCAGCTGCTGCTTGCTGTAAGCATAAGCAGCTGGGTCCATTTCTCCCTAACCTCATTTACATACTTGTCAGCTGTTCAGAGCAAGACAGCAAAAATAATCCCTTTGCTTGTAATAGGAGTTTGCAGTTTTGACTGTGCCCTAATTAGTGCACTGTTTCCTGCTGCTCACAGCTCAGTGCTGTGCTGCATGAGGCAGCAACAATTTATGTGAAATGAAGTGGGTGTGAATGAAGACAAGAAAAAGGGGCTTCAAAGGAGAGACCCAAGAAAGAAGCAAAGTTGACTGGAGGAAAATCTTCAAAGCTGGATAGAGACTCTGATCTGCATGGAATTTTGGGAGTGCAAGAACAAAAGGAATAAATTTAACTTATCTTATTATTTAGATGCAAATACCCAGCAGACAAAGAAATGGAGGATTAACTGAGAAGACCCAATAAAAGGTATGAGAGCTATTTATGTATCTATAGAGCAAAGGGGACAACCTCCTTTTGACTTTAAGCCCTTTAAGCCCTCCAGATTGATCCCACAATCAGCATAATACTCAGAGGTAATACTGTAGTAACTGCAATCTAACATTAGTATTTGATGGGCTACAGATCAGCTACAGAACCAGTTTGGTCTAATGGTTAAGGCATCAGACTAGAAATTGGGAGACCATTGTTTCTAGCTCTGCCTTAGGTATAAAGCCAGTTATGTGACCTTGATTCAGTCACTTGTCTCAGCTATAGGAAAGAGACAATAGCAACAAAACAACTTGCCAAGAAAGCTGCTGAGAGTTTTCTAGGCAGTCTCCAAGAATTGGAAGTGATTGAATAACCCCCCCCCCCCAAAAAAAGGCTAGAGATGGTAGAAAAGTCATAGAAAAGTTAGCTGTAGGACAGAAAGATGCATCCATGAAATTCTCAAGCCATTAGAAATCTGCATCTCTATGTTTGAACATCTCGTTTGTTGAAACTTTCTTATGTTTTGTTGCAGTATACATGGATTACTAAGCAGATGTTTCCCTGTCCCTGAGATGGAAGTGCCAAGCATCAAGGACTTTCAGTGGAAAACTTTAGCACCTTTGCCCAGTCCAAGAGTCTATTCTTCCCTGGTAGAGGCTGGTGGACAGGTGTTTGCCATCGGGGGCTGTGATGACAATGGTGTGCCAATGGACTGCTTTGAAGTGTATTCCCCAGAAGCAAACCAATGGAATTCTCTGCCCCCGATGCCTACAGCCAGGGCTGGGGTAGCAGTAGCTACACTGGGCAAGAGGATAATGGTGATTGGAGGCATGGGAGCCCATCAGATGCCTTTGAAGATAGTGGAGATGTACAACATAGATGAGGGCAAGTGGAAAAAAAGAAACTCTTTGAGAGAAGCCTCGATGGGCATCTCTGTGTCAGTAAAAGGCAAGAAACTTTTTTTAAAAAAAATAAAAAATAAAGTGTGTAGTAGAAACAACTTTAGCTTTGAAGGCAATACCTTGTCCTTGGATATATTTCTGTTTATAATTGGCGGGATGAATGATTTTTTTTCTCATATGCAGAGGCCTAGTCTAGTCAGCAAAAGGCTATCAACTTCTTTTATCCAGTCAGTATTGTCTGATTTTGACCCTTTCACCTGAATTGTTGGAATAACCATCAATGAATTGCTCTGGTTGAGTTTATGCGGTTTTCAACCATCTGGCCTAGAACTTGCTGTGAAGTCCGTTTTGTAATTGGAAGGTGGCCTGACCTTTTCTTCTTCTTCTTTTTAAACCCACACACAGCCAAGCATGTTTTGTATTCCTGCCAAATATGGAAGAAGTCGTTTATTCTGTTTGGTTTGGTGAAGTTTTTATAGCTCCCAAAGGACAGATAAATCAGTGCTTTCTAGTGCATGTGACAGGCTGAAGGTTTTTGCAAAGCATGGAGTGCCAAGATCATTCAGTAGGAATTTATATAGGAAGGTGAATGTGTGCAGTCAAGCATCAATCTTTTTTTCCCTTCAGTATCTTTACCCTCACATTACAACCTGCTTTTGAATATTTGAATCATTTTAGATATGTGTTTGCAATGGAAAGTATCAAATTGCTGTTATGAAATAGAAGGCCAGAAGCCTTCTTTTACCCAAACAAGCATTTCCTGCTTAAATGGGAACTTGACTGCAGGAGAGACATGGCTTAGAGAAGAAGTATTTATTGGAATTTAGCAATTTATCATTGCTGTTTTGCATGTGAACATCTCTTATTAAATGGACTAAAATCATAAATAACTTTCTAGCAAAAGAACTTGGTGGAAGTTTTATCCTTAGAGCAGTAGTCAAGCTATATGATCTGTGGAACATGATAACAACAATGAATGCGTTTCAGTTCAGGGATTATTCTGGTTTTACATTTAAAATGCATGGATTACAGCTCAGATATCCCAATTTCATAGTTGGGATTTTGTTTCCTTTTCTCTTCTAGACTACCGAATCTATGCAGCTGGTGGAATGGGAGCAGATCTACGTCCTCACAATTATATGCAACACTATGATATGCTTAAAGACATTTGGGTGTCCTTGGCAACTATGCCTACACCCAGGTATACTGCCACCTCCTTTCTGCGTGGCACTAAGATCTATGTTCTGGGTAAGAATACACTTCAAGCATCTTCTCATTTTGCAGCTAACTCTAATCTTTACCCTAATTTGTCTCCACGTACATAATTCAAGAACCTGTTTCTTCTTCCTCAAACAGCTGCTCAAGATATACAGTGCTGGAAATGTCCTTTGAATAAAAATGTCTGAGCAGTAACTGTCAGGTTTTCTACAGAAGCCACAGGTCCATGGCTACATTTCTCCATCATAGTGGAAGGAAATAGCATTTACATGAATGTCACTTTTCCTGAGCAATATTGTGAGATTAAAGAGAGGAACTCACAAACAGGTTCTTGGAAAACAACACTGAAGTGCCATTCTAAAATCATCAGTCAGAAATAAAATAAGGAAGATCTTCCCTGGTTGCCTAAGGCAGCATATGGCCCCCAACAACCTGGATCCTCATTTTACCAACCTCAAAAGGATGGAAAGCTGAATCAACCTTGAGCTTTTCAGGACTGAACTCCTGACAGTGCGTAGAGTTAGCCTGCAATACTGCATTCCAACCACTGCATCACCACAGCTCAGAAACATCCATCTCAGTCCCTGTTTGGCTATTTTTTGCTAAATAATACTGATCCAGAAAGCAGACACATTTTCCTAGGCATAAGGATGAAAGCTGAAAGAGGAAAAGTGGGCAATTAAATGGGAATTGCCATACAGTAGTTTACATTCTTACATTTTATTGAGCTTTTAGACAATGCTATCATCCAGTTATTGTCCTCCCCGAAATGAATTTGTATTTCTATCATAACTACAGAAAGTTTGATGTGAACTGCAGTATTCATGGGTGTAGAGAGCCTTAGCATTGTCCCTCCTTTTATCTTAAACTATTGGGAATCTTCAGGCCATAAATATTGTCTCCTCCTCACCTCCCAGGACCCAGATTTAGATGGCTAGCAATTTTGGAAGGCTCTACCCTCAAAGCTTTTAAATAGCCAATAACCTCAATGAAGGTTGCAATATCTTAAAGCTTCTTTTGCAGTGCAGGGAGACCATTTTTAAGGAAAGTAGATGAGGCTAACCTTGTTGCACAAAGATACAAGGTGGTGTTAGCCATCTCATTCATAATAGAACCCTCTAAGATAAATAGATATTGGGAGTTTTTTAAAATAGGTTTCAATTACTTTCTAAAAGTCTAATTGCAGAATTTGTGCAAATGTATATGTGAATAGTTGTTCACATGGAAATAGTTACATTGAACTGCTGCTTGACTGAACAGAATCATCTTGCCCTTTGCCTATCTCATCCATTCATGAAAGCATGTCATCAAGTCAGACCATAGTATCCAATAGTTCAGTATCAGCAGCTGGACATAGTAACACTTCATTGTTATCTTTAAGGACTAGGAAGTATTATAACTGGATCTGATGGAACTTAAAGAAAGCTACACATAGAATTGCAATGCATTTAGGTGTACAGTATGTCACTGATAATTTTACTTGTATCTGACCAGAAATATGCAAGAATGAAGGGTTCACTGAATGCACAGAGATTTTGAATGTGTTCCACTATTATGCAGTTTTGAAGCTGTAAATTCCAAAGTTTTCTGAAATGTGGGCACTGATCCTTAGCAAAACAGGCAGAAGAGATACAGAAGTGACAAAGTAACTTGAACAAAAGAGAATAGCTGCAAAAGCAAGATGGACAAGGTAGACAATTGAAGTTGATAAGCTTGCCTCTTGGATTCTGAGTTCAAAAGGGGCCAGGCCAATTTATCTCCAACTTTTTCTCTAATGTCCAAAAGAAACAGAGAAAAGAATAAAACATATGAATAATTTATATCAGGTAGACTTCATATTAATACTGTGTATATATCTCTAAGTTAGTCTTGACTCCTGCTATTTGCTTGAACAAATCCATGTAGTTTTCTTGACAATATTTCTAGAAGTGTTTTGCTTTCTTCCTTTGGTTAAAGAGAAATTGACTAGAGCTCAGCTGGTTTCACACTTAAGACAACAGTAAAACTCATGGTTTCCCTTTTCCTTGCTCAGTGCTTTTAACCACTACATCAAACTGGCTCTCTAAAGTTAGTTCTAATCTGGGGGGGGGAATTTAGGCAAGGAAGTGAGAGTCCCCCTTCATTCTCACTACATCTATTGCCCCAAGGGTCAATAATTTTATTAATTCAGAAGATTGGTACACAGAAAATTGAATTCGAACATTGATAATATTGCTAATAAAAAGCATTTGGAGACTGCAGTATCTCCTCTACACCCAACATTAAATCAAAAAGTTATCTCTGAGCAGAGTGAAATGATATCTATTTTGATTTAGCTGTTCTCATTCTAAGACCAAAAAAAAAAAGTATGTTCTAAAGCTTCCAAAGTTGGGCCAGGGTCTTCTGTGACCTGCATAGAACAGGAAATCTATCACCCTCCTCATAAGTCATGATATATAATACTTAAAGGTTAGTTTTTGACCCCTGAGGCAGAAAATCTCACATTTTCCCCTGCAGTTCTAAACATGATGCCATCTCTCTGCAATATGGGCAATCTCTGTCTTGTGATTTTGATGAGTAAATAGAAGTTGTCTTCTTAATTAACAGCAACAAATTTTATCAACTTTTTATACACTTCAGTATGGTCTTAGAACGAGAGTAAATTCTGTTCACATCTACACTAAATTCTGTTCACATCTACACCAGAGCTTACACACTGTAATGAGTACTGAGGCATGAGTAGATATGAGCTGGCTGGGAAAATCTGTGACTTGGTCCATACATCTTAAAGTTGTCCAGTTTGAAAATGGGTAGACAGTAGTTATCAAGCTTCCTGCAAGGGGAGAGCAAGAACATAGAAGGGGAAATGAGTTTGTTTTTTTTAAAACTAAAATAGTTACATAAACAGAACTTGCAGTAAAGAGCTCTTCTGGCTCCCTTTTGTTCATTCTTCCTGCAGCTGCTAAGCATGCTTAATCCTTCTTGGGTGATTTTAAAGCAGATATATTTTCTACAAATCTCAAACTCTCCCAGATGTGCTGACAGCTCCCTCTCATTTCTTACTCCAGTTCTGTGTTGAGGGAGTGATTACTCATCATGCCTTGATAATCATTTTGGTTAAGGCCAACTGTAAATATAAAAGAATAACACCACCAAAAGCACCCTTCCATACACACACACCAGTATATAAAATGGGCAAATTGGTGGAAACTACTATGACATGCTTAAAGATCATAACTGTAACCTTGGCAAAAATATGCAATGCTTTTGAAGCACAATTGGTAGGACATCTATGGAATAAATGTATTATCCTGCAACACTGCATACTTTATGCCAAATATACAGACAGAGGTTTGCCTGATTTATGAACTAGAATAACAGTCTAAGAGTAATCATAATTATGAGTTGTGCCATGTGGTAAGTTAGCTTTATAACTGAAAGGTTGTTATAAAATCTGTTCAGCTGAGTGACTATCCAGAGAAAATTACTTAATGAGAGGTAATTTTTTTTTCCAAAGATTTCATAGGTAGTCAGATCTTGTTATTTCCTAACAGGATGAGGAAGAAAAGGACATAAAACTGAGTTGGTTTTTCAGCAGCCAAGAGAATTCCTTTCCCTTCACTTGTGATAGCATCTCTTTACCTAATTTTCCTCAGTTCTCCATTCACTACTGCTTTCACAATGATGAAAAAATAATATTGGTATGAAGCCAAGCTGATCTTTCACTACAGTATCTGCTTTTCTTTACTGAAGGTGGAAGGCAGTCCAAATATGCTGTGAATGCCTTTGAAGTCTTTGATATTGAGACCAGATCTTGGACCAAGTTCCCCAATATTCCCAGCAAAAGGGCTTTCTCCACCTTTGTTTGCACAGAGAACAACATCTTTAGCCTTGGAGGATTGCGGCAGGGCAGATTGTACCGTCAGCCTAAATTCATGAAAAATGTGGATGTCTTTGATATCGAGCAAGGTGGGTTTTCTACGATTGCCTCCAAATTCTAATGTGGCTACATTCAGGTGGGGGGAGGGGGGGAAGAGAACAACCTTTTGATACACACTTTTTATAACTAGTAAAATGCTGCCTCCATTTCTCCTGTGGTTTGCTATGTATATTCAGCAGTATAATTTGGGAAAATTCTGAAAGAATAAAAAATGGCTGTATGTACCTAATGAACTGAGGCTCGCTTACCCAAGCCTTATAATGGGGAGTACAATCTATGTTCTCTGGTTTGCATTTAACCTCTACAAGTGTTGTGAGTCTGTGCCAGCCACTGGACCCGGCAGCTGAGTCCGGGGAATCAGGAGGAGGAGGGGCCTGGAGAGCCATCAGAGTCGGAGGAAGGCTCTGATCAGCTCCAGGACTTACAATCTGATGAAGAGCCTGCCCCTCCAATCATGCTCAGGCTGAGACTCAGCTGTGCAGGGAACCTGAGACAGACTCTGAGGACTCAGAGCTGGAAGACAAGCGCAGACAGGCAACAAGAGCAGGACAGAGGGAGGCAATGGGGCAACTCCAAGGGAGGAGGAGAAGTCATTGAGAAGTCACGCCTTGGGGCTGCATAATAAAAAGGGAAGGTATGGGCGGTGCTGGTTGCTGAAGGCAACCGTTTGCAAAGGACTCAAGTTTCATGGAATCAGATTCTGTTTGCCTTGCCTGTGAACAATTCTTCGTTTGAATCGTGTTCTGTTTGCCTTTGAACAATTCTCTGTTTGCATTCTGTTTCGTTTGCCTTTGCTTTGGGGACATTTTCAGGTCTGTACCTAATTAATAAAAGGGGTTTGTTTTTCCTGCATTTCCAGCCTACTTGTTAAATGAGGGGTTGGTCCTTGTGGAGTTAACAAGGACTCACATAGGCTGGGACAGAACAACAAGTCCTATTGATCCTAAAGAAATCACTGCCAAATTTCCATTATTAAATTTCAAATTGGGCAGGAAGGAAAATTGCTAAATACATGAAGAATAACTATATGAAATGTATTTATCATTAATATTAATTAAAATAAAATGTTCTTCCATTCTGATTCCGCCTACTTGTCTCTAGCAAATCACACAAAAGTAAAAAGCAGTCTTATTACATCTGATGTAATAAGGGAATTAAGGTATGTAGTATAATAGTAAAAACTCTGGATTGCTGCTTTTGAGTTCACAACCCAAGTTGTATACTGATCCCTAAATATTTGAGAAGCCCATCATCTAAATTATGTTTTCAAGGCAAGTGTTTGCATTGTAAGGTCTTCATTCGTTAATGTGACAACAAATGTAATAGTTTAAGTAGCAAATATTTTTATTCAGTTTGGTGACTGCCCCTTCAAGGATTTCAAGAATCTTATTTATAGCAAAAACAGTTTCTCTCCAGGTGCCAGAAAATTCATTGTTCCAATTGTACTGCCAATTGTTCCTAAATCTATATTAAGCTTTAAAATTCAGATGTAAAACTTTTATGTAAAATTCACAAGTCCAGAAGTCAGTTTTAACTTAATGGAGGAGATGGGTCTGCAGAGAAGTGAAGCAATTTATCATCTTACTATGAACAGTAACTGCTCACTGGAGAGAGGACCCCACATATTATTGAATTAATGGAGAGGAGCAGCCTTTTATGAGATTCTTCTGAACTTCAGATTCTCATGCTTTCTGATGCTATGGGCTTCAAATTTGCCGAAACCCAGGACGAGTTGGATGTGGAATGTTAACTTTTATATGTTAATCCATGTTAATATTTTGGAACTCTGTGTGGAATTTTACTGGTAATTGGATAAGGAGATGTTACTTTTTTGATTTGCCTATTGTTAAGAAAAAGTGGCAGCGTGCTGGCTCAATGGTTAAGATGTTGGGCTTGTTGAGTGGAAAGTCAGCAGGCCAGGTTTGAGACCTGAGCACCACACAATGGGGTGAACTCCTGTCCTCGACCCAGCTTTGGCCAATCTAGTAGTTTGAAAGAATGCAAATGTGAGTAGATAAATTGGTAACATTTTGGTTGGAAGGTAAAAAGCGCTCTGTGATGTCAGGCTGACCACATGACAATGGAAATGTCTTCCGACAACACTGGTTCAATGGCCTTGAAATGGAGATGAACATTGACCTATTATTATAGTTGGCAATGACTAGTGGAGTATAATCTGCAATGACTTCTTTTTTTATTGCTAAGAGATGGTTCTGAGATGAAGAGTTTTATATTTATTAATTAAGAGAAGATGAGATTATAAAAATGTTTATATTTGTTGTGATGAGGGTGAGAAACTGCTTTCTTAAGGGGAGGTTCTTTTTACTTTTGCCTTCTTGCACTTTTTTCTTTCTTTTCTTTTTTAGTTTGCATTATTTTATTGTTGTTTCTAAACCATTTATTAAAATAATTATTAAAAAAAAGAAACCCAGCTTAAGTTGGTTCTCCCCATTCATCAACAAATTGGTATCTTTCGTGAGGTCTGCCTCAAAGGAGTAGAATTTTTTGGGTAATAATATATATTCAGTGGGGTTGACTGAACAGGTCCCTACATTGCTGCACTAACCATATTACCATAATAATTTCCCCAGAAAGCAATATCCATATATGTATATAATTGCATTCTGCAGAAGTTACAATGGCAAAGGGCGGGAATACAACTGAAAGACTTGGTGATCATGTCTGTATCAAACAGTAAAAAAAGTATAAGGGGGGGAAGGAAATATGAGCACTCAAAATATATCAGTAGAAAAAATCTATTGAGTTATAGACCTCTAGCATGTTATTAGCTATGAAAAATGTCATGATCATTTAATAATGAATCAGGTTAATTTTCAGGAGGCTGGATGAAGATTGATCGCTCATTTTTTCTGAAGAAACGACGGGCAGATTTCATTTCTGGATGTTTAAAAGGAAGAATTGTTGTTGCAGGAGGACTAGGTGAGGATTTTTTCCCCATCCCTTCAAAGTTTGAACTATATTTTTCAGTTTTATTTATATTGCGAATAGGAAATAGACCTGTCCATGAGTCTACCTCAAAACTTTTCCAACGAGTCCTGCTCTCATTAGCGACCCCCTGCCTCTACCATGCCTATGGAGCTAATAGGGAAGCAGTTAGTCTGGGAAAGCATAAAGCTTTGCCATCGTGGATTCTCTGAGTTCCTCCCTAAGGCATGAAACCCAGAGAATGCAGGTTAGAAAACTAGGTTGGTGATCTAGGAGTAGAAAATCACAAACCTCAGATAAATATGCCCAAGAAAGCAGATGATGGACTAGAAAAAATGATTATTCTAGTTAAGGTTGAGAGAAATAGGAAAAAAAAAAAAAGATGGATGGATGGAATTTCCTTAGAAGAGCTTTTATTATTATAAATGTCCAGGTGCCAAGCATACCTTTAACTCTACAATTATCAGGAATAAAACTTAGTAATGCTGAACTAAAATCCATTATCGCTTACTTACTTACTTCATACTTACAAAATGAACCAATGAATATACGTATGTTTTTATTGTGTGAAGTTGGGTGTCTGGGAAGAGAGATATACAAGATTTGAAATAGGAAAACTAAAAATAGTTAAAATGAAGAAAAAATAAATCCACAGGAATCTTTATAAGCTTATACTATGGACAGCTATGATAGCAAAATTATCTGAAGAAATGTTTAAATTATAATTATTTGCACAGGTCTGAATATGATACAGTACAAAACAAATCAATTTCTTCTCTAAAATGAGAGAGACAACCAAATCTATATTCAGGGATAAGAAATGTGTGTACGTGTTTGTCTGTATTCATATCAAAGCAGAGGGAAGGAAATCACCTTTTTTTCAAACTGATCTCGGTACTCAATATGGCACGTAATCGATTCTGTTTTCTGTCTAGCAGAATAACAGCACTACAGATCCAGCTGATTTAACTTATTTTCTTTGGTTTCTCAAAATCAATTAGTTAAGAAACAGCAATAATCTCTCCAAAAATTACAGTTCCTATATTAGTTTGTTCAAGTTCAGGAACTTGAAGATGTATGGACTTCAGCTCACAGAATTCCCGAGTCAGGCTCAATCATGCTGGCTGAGGAATTCTGGGAGCTGAAACATCTTAAAGTTTCTAAATTTGAAAAACACTATTTCAAAGGATATATTTGCCCCAGATGTGCATAAATAAACAAACACACACAAACACATATACTTGTATATTCTTTTTAAAACCAGTAATCAGTAGAATGTTCATTGGATGGCTTTGGAATTCTGTGCATTTTCTATCTGTCTGTAATCATATTTCTCTCAACCAGGAAACCAGCCAACTGTTCTGGAATCAGCTGAGGCCTTTCATCCTGGAAAAAATAAATGGGAAAGTTTACCACCTATGCCTACTCCACGATGTGCTTGCTCCACTATTGTGGTAAAAAACTGCCTTCTAGCGGTAGGTGGAGTGAATCAGGGTTTGAGTGATGCCGTAGAAGCATTATGTGTCTCTGATTCCTAGCAGGCATGTCATTGGATGCTCACCATTCATAGTGATCTACAGACCAAGAAATAGCTCTGTAGCTTTAAAGCTGGGCCAGTGTCTTCAGTATGTGAAAAGTTGACACTTTTCCTTCACCAACTCAAAGCAGCACTGCCTTGCTTTCCTCTAATTCCTTTCATAGTGTCCTTTGGAAACAACAAATTCTCGCTCCATGTAACTACACAGTCTTGTGGTTCTGTCATCTGGCAGAAGCTCTTTCCTATAATGATGTCATCATCTCTGCAAGCATTACGGAGCACCACTGACTCATGAATTTATAGGACATTCCCACTGTCAACTCTGAATGGCCGGAAATCAGGCCAGTTTTGTAATGGAGCAGTCAAGGTTCATAGCCTGACATGAAGTTTCATCCAAGGATGAGGAAGCATATCATCTAGGACTATGAGAAGATTTTGCCTTCCTCTGAAATATCATGTACTAGTCACAGCTATTGAACAAAATCGTTAAGATTCTGTGCTGAGCTTTTCCAAGTACTTTTTGAAGAATAACAATGGAAACAAAGAAGGGAATCCCACAGAGCTAGAGTGCAATGTGCCCCAGCATTCCTGAGCTCTTTGGAATAGTGCCATTATGATAATGAACTTACTGTTTTTCTGTGGGAATCTTGAAGAGTTCGTAGTCTTCAAAATTCCCCACTGTGATATTGCCATATAGGGATTCAAAGCATCTTGTATGAATGTCTTCCCAATCATGCAGCTTATGATCTTGAAGTCACATCAATTTGTGTGAGAGCAACAAACATATTACCTTGATTAGTAATATATTCTATCATTAGAATGGCAGAATTGTTCTGTCCAAAGACCTGAAAACAAAAGGTGAAGAATCAAATTCAGGAGAAAAATGCCTCTGTCCCAGGAACCAAGGTATTACTCCCTTCAATGATCCTCCCTCCATCCCTTCCTCTTTGTTTGTGTGTGTGTCTCTGTATATGTGTGTGTATCTTTCACACATTCTCCAACCCCACAATTGGTTCCATCCAAGGTACACAAAGTGTGGTTGAGTTTAATATAATTGATGTCTGAGTAGCAGGGAAGTTATGGACTTGGCTCATAGCCACTTTCACATGTCCCATGGCAACAGCAACACTTGGGTGCAGTCTTGCTTGTCTTTTTTTTTTTAACCTGTTTCATGCATTGTTTATCTTCATTAACCTGCAGGGTGAAATGGTCAGTTTCACCCAAGTGCACAATTGATCAGTTCTGGTTAGTTATTAACAAGTAACACAATTAAAATCAATGTTCATATTGTAACTTGAATAACTCCTATAGGCAGTTAGTGTTCTGTTCTTATACAGAGAAAAGAGAGAGACCAAAGTTTACAAGAATACTATTCTTAGTATTGATTTAGCTACTATAGAGCAATCATACACATACACTAAGGGTTTTTCTGCACTGCAATCTTAAGCTGCTTAGCTCTTCTGTACATACTGCCTGGAAATGAAGCAGGCTTAAGAAATCCATTTCCAAATTTCGACTTTTTGTCCTCTTTGGTTATAATGATGACCAGGTGTCTCATTTGGATTGTAGTTACCACTAGTCCTGATTGGTGGATTCCTACCTTCTTTATCCCTTCTCCCATTCCAGGAACATACATGCAAATTGCTTTCTGCATTGTGGGCAACAGAATTTAAGGTTATGTAGTTTCTACTGATGGACCTCTTCTATGAGCGCCCCACCCTCATTGACTCCCCCTCATTTTCCTATCTGGTGCATTACATTTTTATCATTCCTGCTTCACTTGGCTGCAAGGGAAAACTTGTCAAGTTCAACAGATTATGTAAGGGGGGAAAATGGTCACATTTCACCATTCTGCCTGTGAAATTGCAAAAAAAAAAAAAAGTGAAATGAAGAAAAGAAACAGAAATTCACCATTCTGGTCCCTGTAGGAGGAGGCGGCAGGGTGAGCAGCCCAGGATAAAATGGCAGTGACAGGAAGTGGCATTCCTACCATAGTGTACGGTAGATGAGTGGAATGGGCAGATATAACTACACTGAAATCAAAGGTGTGGTTGAACAGAATGATACAAGTCAGAAAACATTACTTTTAAGTATTGAGAAGAGGCTCTGCATTTCTGCTCTGAAGAAACAGCCAGTGGCTTATATTGATGGGAATTAGCTCTGCAAATTGGTTTCAGTCCATGCTCCCAACATGTGATCTGTAAAGAAATCTTCAAGTCATATTGCTACCCCCACAGTGAAGGCCTAAAAGAAGCTTTGGATTGGTTGATATAATCATTAGAGATTGAGCATGACTCAAGAGAGATTTTATCTTTTTAATGGATGTGCATGTTATCCTGGAAGGATGTCCTGTCCTCAGATCAGCAAACACGAAGACAGAAATATCAGCATTTTTCAGCCAGCTATTTTTGACTATCTTAGGACACTGGCTTCTTAATTATGAATTAAGAAGCTTGATAGTACTATTTTGCATTTTAAATTTTAGATGATTTTAAAAAATTCTATCTATCCACACAGCTCTCTCCAGGGTAGTGCTCTGGCTAGCCCAGTTTCCATCAGGTACCGGTAACTAAATCAGCCAGACTGTAAAAACAGATGACAACAAAATAAAAAGCACATAGGAATGGAAACCACAAGCCAAAATTCTTGCATGAAATCAGTGCTGGTGAAGAGACTAAGACTTTGAAAAAAGAAAAGCTCTTTGAATGGTATCAAAAACATAAAAATTGGGATGCCAGGTGAATTTGTCTCGGAAGAACATCCAACTGAGAGACGCAATAGTTGAAAAGCCATAGTGTTTCCCTGCCATCCATTTCATTTCCAGAAACTAGGGACTTTCAGAAGAGGTTATCTCTGTGTCCAGACTGGCTCCCTCATGTGGGATTATATAATCCTTCAAATACTTGGGTTTGAAGCGATGCAGGTTGTTAAAAGCATCCGATTTGGAATTACACTGGATCAAAAGCATGATTTTCAAGATTTGTTTATTATTTTGAATGTATGCCCCACTTTCTGTTATGGTAACAAAGAGAAACCTTGGAGAGCAGTGAGCACTATTTCCATCAGGTAACTAAATTAACCAGTCTGACAAATATCAAGCAGCTGCTTTGAGAGGCTTAAAAAGCAATTCAATGGCCCAACATCAACATCCAGGAGACTTCAATTATGTCTGGCTAATATAAGCAGTCTGTGCAGCTTTTTGACCCAAGATACTTTCCAGGCATACTACATAAAATTTGCAAATTAGCAAGACATGAGAGAGCACATAATAAGCACTTAAAAATTTGGAAGCCTGTCCTTTTTTTATAACATCTTTCTGTGATGCACAGGGAACAAACAAGAGTGCACAGGGAACAAAACTAGATTTTGTTAACAGAGTGCACAGGGAACAAAACTAGATTAAAAGAAAGCATATCACGGACCAACTCTGTTCCAGCAAAACTGGTCTGATTTTATGTGCATTGTTAAATATAAGTTTAAATTTGTGCGGGAATAAATGGGGTTTGCTTGCTTTATCTGGTTTGTGGACAGGGTATTAAAAGGGCTCCAGAAATATCCAGAGGACCACTAGAAGCAAACATTAAAAAGAATGCTTGGATATGTTCCTTAATTAGTCAGACTCAATTAAGGAATGTATCCATGCATTTTACTTTGTAACAGTACTGGAGTGAATTGCCACTACTGTACCTTCTTCAAGGGCATTATTTTTCAGTTTCTCAGACTATTTTAAAATTCCTTGATGATTGCCTATCCTAATCCTGCTTTAGGTTCAAAGCCCAGAGAAGATTATCAAAGTGCTGCTATACAAGAGTGAGCATAGCTTACGGCAGGGGTCTGCAACCTTGACAACTTTAAGACTTGTGGACTTCAGCTCCCAGAATTCCTCAGCCAGCATAGTCCACAAGTCTTTGTGTCCAGACTAGCTTAAGTCCACAAATCTTAAAGTTGTCAAGATTGCAGACGCCTGGCTTACAGCAAAGTTAAAAAACTATACATCTTCTAATTGTAATGCTGGTATCAGAACACCTCTTTTAATTTTCTTAGGCAATAGTAGTTGGTCTTATGCAACTGCACGTGTAGAAGCCTCTTGGCCTGACAGAGTTGCAATTTCAGCCTGCATTTAGCAAAACATTTTGGGAATGAATGAAGACACAAGAAATTGCATGGCAGCTTGAGTATAGTGCAGTGATGGTGAACCTTTTAGAGATCGAGTGCCCAAAAACTGGCCCCGCCCCACTCCTGCTCTGCCCCCCATTCCCCACCCCACCTGCCCACAGGACCACTCACTGCCTCCAGGGCCCACCGCAGATTGCCAAGGCAGCCCAGCAGCGCTATGGCGGCCACACCCTCTGCTCGTGCCCTGCAGCATCAATTGCATGATGGAGTGTGAGGGCAGAGTCTTGACTATGCTGCCTGGCTGCCATGTCCTTGGCTGTGCTGCTCTGTGTGGGCCATGCTCGAGGGCGAGTCTCCTTCAGAGGGGCTGCTGGAGAGGAGGGGGTCAGGAGAGGCAAGGCTGGGGCAACGGCACGTGTGCCCACAGAGAGGGGTCCGAGTGCCGCCTCTGGCACCTGTGCCATAGGTTCGCCACCACTGGTATAGTGTAAACTTGCTGCTTTGGGACTGTGGTTGCTTTATTCTTCTTTCCAACTGGCAAGGGCTGTAACAAGTGCTCAGGATGGAGTACACAAAGGCAGACTTTCCTCTGGCAAGTGGGTGGTGGAACCATCTGTGAGAATCTTCTCTGCCAATAAAGAGCTGGCAGCATCTGCAGATGATGCAAATACTAGTAGGGAAGCCTCTGAAAAGTCTCTTTCCTGCTGTGAATCTTTTGCAACCCACACATCAGACCGAGGGAGTTAAAAAAATAGATATCCTTAGCTTAAAGAAGGAATATTAAAGCTGCTTAACACACAAACACATCAGCAAAAAAAGAAAGGTCCATCTGACAACACTTCCAGGCTAGGAATTCCTCTGCGATCATTTGCCAAGATTTAATTGACAGTGATTTCTAGTTATAGCATTCCCATATTTTCCAACTGTTGCCTTCATCTTTTTTCTCTTATACAAAAATCCATTACACATGCAAGGACAGAATAATGTTGCAATGTGCTTTGTACTCATATTCCAAAAGCTGTCTAGAAGCACTGCAGATGTTATGTGTTTCTTGTGGCAAGCATACAGATGTTGGGAAATCTACCAATTACCACAGTCTGTCAGTGGCGGAACTTCTCAATGGCTCAATTAGCATAAGTCTTATTATGAGACATATTATAAATCAACGTGTTTCTTTTTTTAAAAAAAAAAACGTGTTTCTTATAAGCACAATTGAATCAACATGTATCTAATGGCCTCAAAGAAGAAATGTAACAAAAATCTTCACCTATTTTGGAAACAATAAATTAAAACAAAATTTGAACTGGGGAAAATCAGAAAAATATTTTTTAAAATTATTTTCATATATGCGAAAGATTTTAGAATGCTTCAATACAAGGCCTTATCTGAACCCTTCAAGTCTTCTATAAGACCAATCATATTTTCCTAATTTAACATGCATCTTTTTAGAATATAGTTCCATATAATACATTTGAAATCATATTAATCAAATGTATATATTTTCATAGAATACAACATATAGTGGTCCCTTCTCACCATAAGCATTCTTTCTGAAGTTTTCTTCTGAAAACATTGAACATTACAATGTTGATATATTGATATATTCAGTGATCTACTTCTAAGACAGATAACTGTGAGAATAGATTTAGAGAGGATATAATAAATAAAAGAATTCTTAGATGACAACAATATGAGTTGCAAAGATGATTGGAAAACAAAAGGATCAGTTGCAAATAGCATAAATGAAATTCAGAATGAGATGAAAGGATATAGACAATGACTACCAAGTATCCTAAATCAGGGGTCCCCAACCTGTGGGCCGTGGCCCATTACTGGGCTGCGGCCACTTGGCCACCGGGCCCCGTGAAGGGATGGCCAGTGCACGCTCACACCTGCATGCACTCACACCCCCACACTCGTGCTAGCGGTGAGCATCCTGCTGGCGTAAGCGTCACCCCACCCCCAAGCGTTTGCTGGTGCTAACACTGCCCCATCACCCGCGCATCCCGTTGCCGATGCTAGCATCATCCCACCCCCTCAGGTCCACAGAAAACTCTCTACGGAACCGGTCCCTGGTGATCAAAAGGTTGGAGACCTCTGTCCTAAATAACACTGGAGCCCTGCTAAGTAGATCTTTCACTATTTCAAGCTAAAGTTACTATACATTAAGCAACAAAAGAATGTGTGTTATTTCTATATATAATCCTTCAGTGCACAGAGCCCTATCATGGTGAGCAAAAACTGTTTTGCCACAATATTATGTATTAGATTCAATGCTAGAAATGAGAGATGTAATTTCTAGTACCACTTTAGGCACGAAAGCCAGCTGGATGACTTTGGGTCAGTCATCCTCTTTCACCTCAATCCATCTCATGGGGTTGTTGTTTGGAGGAAAATAGGGGAACAGGGTATTAGCTATGAATAACAATAACATGAAGAAGAAGAAGAAGAAGAAGAAGAAGAAGAAGAAGGAGGAGGAGGAGGAGGAGGAGGAGGAGGAGGAGGAGGAGGAGGAGGAGGAGGAGGAGGAGGAGGAGGAGAGGAGGAGGGGGGAGGAGGAGGAGGGGGGAGGAGGAGAAGTAGTAGTAGTTAGAGGGGATCTTGGAGGTCATCTAGTCCAACCTCCTAATCAGGCAGGAAACCCTATACCATTTCAGACAAATGGCTGTCCAGTCTCTTCTTAAAGACATCCAGTGTTGGAGCATTCACAGCTTCTGGAGGCAGGTTCCATTGATTAATTGTTCTAATTGTGAGAAAGTTTCTCCTTAGTTCTAGGTTGCTTCT